TCTCCTTCTCATTGATATCTAATGCCTTTTCGGAGTAATGCTTAATAGAATCTTCCAAGTCCTTGTACGCAATATTATCCAGCTCTTTCTCCTTAAAAGCTTTATGCTTCCTCTCCTTCTGTTTTTCATACTCCGGTTCCAGTTCTGACGGAGCGGAAGTACCGTAAGTAACCGATAACGCAAAGGTAACGTTGAAAGGATCAAGAGTTGTGTAAAACAAAGCTCTAAGTTTTATAAAATCAAATATCAAAGTTGTGTCTCTTATAAACCAAGAGATCACAATATATAGGGACATAAAGTAATAAAACCAACATAGAAAAGGAAAACTAAACTTAATAGAAAAGGAAAACCAAACCAAATAAAAAAAAGGAAATAAGAGAACCAAAGCATACGAGGATTAACGATGTTTGCTACATCAGGTCCCCCCCCCCCCGGTACGAGAGATTCGTCCACGAATCCTGAGAGTAAGGCGTCATCAAGTTCAAACTTGAAGAGATGCTTGACATTAAAAACATCAGCAGTGTGCACGTGTGGAGGTAAAGCCAGACGATAGGCATTTGCGTTGATCTTTTCAAGGATCTCGACTGGTCCTAACTTTCGTGGCTTCAATTTGTTGTACTCCTCAATCGGAAACCGTTCTTTCGTGAGGACTGCCCAAACGCGATCTCCAACCTGAAAATGGACCTCTCGTCGATGCTTATCTGCAGAACGTTTGTATTTAATGGCAGTGCCCTTCAAATTTTCTTGAGCCTGCGCATGTATAGTGGAAATTTCGTTGATAAGTTCCACCGCTCAGCCATGAAACTCTCCTGGTTGTGGAAGCGTAGTCAACGATAAAGGACCTCGAGGAACAACTCCATAAACAACTTGGAAAGGACTATAACCCAAACTCCTGTTATTAGCATGATTGTGAGCGAACTCAGCTTGGCACAACACCGAGTCCCATGAACGAAGATTATCACCAACCAAGCAGCGCAACATGTTACCCAAACTTCGATTGGTTACCTCTGTTTGACCGTCGGTTTGTGGATGGTACGCGGAGCTCATATTTAAGCTAGTTTTGAACATTTTCCAAAGGGAGCGCCAAAAGTGTCCAATGAATCTAGAGTCCCTATCAGACACAATAGACAACGGCAAACCGTGGAGGCGATAAACTTCACGAAAGAAAAGCAGAGCAACTTGCACGGCATCAGTTGTTTGCTTACAAGGAATGAAGTGCGCCATCTTGGAAAATCGATCCACTACCACAAAGATAGAATCATTACCACGCTGTGTACGTGGAAGCCCCAGAACAAAGTCCATACTAATATCACTCCAAGGCTGTGTTGGAATTGGTAATGGGAGATAAAGACCCGCATCGGACACATGTCCCTTTCCACGCTGACAAGTTGTGCACCGAACGACAAACCGCTCGACATCCCGACGAAGTGTAGGCCAAAAATAGGAATTAGTTACGAGCTTAAGTGTCCTATCTCGACCCACATGGCCCTCCCCATGAAGTTCTTTAACGATCTGTAACCTCAAACTGCAAGCTGGAACACACAATCGATTATCCTTGAAGATAAAGCCGTCTACCAAGGAATAGTCGGAATGTAAACCCTGCTCTAAGTCCCTTAATATGGTGGAGAAGAAGGGGTCTGTCGTGTATAGCTCTGCAAAGCACTCAAAACCTGTGACGGAGACCCGAAGCGTAGAAACCAAGGCATGACGACGACTGAGTGCATCCGCCACTTTATTAAGCTTACCCGATTGGTGTTTAATAACGAAAGTGAACTGCTGGAGATAAGCCGTCCAAGAGGCATGGCGCGAAGATATTTTATCCTACGTTCCCAAGTACTTCAAAACGACGTGATCGGTAAACAAAATAAACTCCTTGTGAGCCAGATAATGGCGCAAATGCTTGATGGCTTGTACGATTGCGTAGAATTCGACATCATAAGTACTATAGCGACTGCGCGCACCAGCCAGCTTTTCACTATAGTAAGCGATTGGACGACTATGTTGACTCAAAACAGCCCCGATCCCTAATTTTGAAGCATCGTAATGAAGCTCAAAAGGTGACTCAAAATCGGGGAGAACTAGAATAGGAGCCGTTGTTAGCTTTTCTTTGATAAGATCAAACGCTCGTGCTGCCTCCTCTGTCCAGAGAAACGAACCACCCTTCATACAATCTGTAATTGGTGCCATAATGGCACTAAAATTGTGCACAAAACGCCTATAGAAGGACGCCAATCCGTGAAAACTTCGAACCTCAGAAAGAGTAGATGGAGTAGGCCAAGAAGCGACTGCGTCAACCTTTTGAGGATCGACACGCAGACCTTTAGCGGAAACAACATAGCCGAGGAAGAGGACTTCAGACGCCCCAAACTCACACTTTTGGCGAGCTATAAATAGCTTCTCTTTCCGAAGGGCGATCAAGACCTCACGTAGGTGACTGAGATGTTCTTCCATTGTGGTACTAAAGATCAAGATGTCGTCGAAATAAACGACAACAAACCGACCAATAAACGGACGTAAGGCCTGATTCATGACACGCATGAAAGTGCTTGGTGCATTAGATAATCCAAAAGGCATTACTAACCACTTGAACAAACCTTCACGAGTCTTAAAATCGGTTTTCCATTCATCCCCGGGACGATCCGAATCTGGTGATATCCACTTTTAAGATCTAATTTGGTGAAGACGGCAGCTTTTCTGATTTGATCAAGAAGATCATCAAGGCGTGGTATGGGAAACCGATACCGTGTTGTGATTTTGTTGATAGCGCGACTGTCAACACACATGCGCCATGAGCGGTCTTTCTTAGGAATGAGTAACGCTGGAACTGCGCAAGGACTTAAATTTTCACGAACGTATCCCTTGCTGAGTAATTCCTCAACTTGGCGTCGAAGTTCTTCATGTTCTTCTGGGCTCATACGATAGTGAGCTCGGTTTGGTAAGACAGCATTCGGCACGAGATCAATGTGATGTTGAATATCTCTTAGTGGAGGCAATCCTGCTGGTAACTCATCCGGAAACAGGTCTTCGAATTCTTGTAAGAGGGGCGAGAACTCGGACGGGCAAGGATGAACCTTGGTTGGCGTAGGACTGATAGAAACCAAAGCAAATAGGGGTTTAGCTTCTTGTAACTCTTGCTCAAACTGGGATTCAGAGATAATCAATAAACTTTGCTTGGAAGTGGC